AAGTATAAAGAGCAGAAATTGAGTGATTGCCTAGAACAGAATAAAGGCAGTAGGACTATACTTAAGAGGGAAGTCAGGAAGGCAAAAAGGGGACTGAAATAGCTTTGGCGAATAGAGGTAAGGACAATCCAAAGGGATTCTACAAATGCATTAAGGACAAAAGGGTAACTAGGGAGAGAATAGGGCTCTTTAAAGATCAGCAAAGTCGCCTATGTGTGGAACGACAGGAGATGGGGGAGATACTAAATGAGTATTTTGCATCAGTGTTTACTGTGAAGAAGGATATGGAACATAGAGAATGTGGGGAAATAAATAGCGACATCTTGAAAAATGTCCATGTTGCTGAGTAGGAAATGCTGGACATTTTAAAACACAAAGGTGGATAAATCCCTGGGACCTGATCAGGCGTATCCTAGAACTCTGAGGGAAGCTAAGGCAGTGATTGCTGTGTCCCTTGCTGAGATACTTGTATCATTGATAGCCACAGGCAAGGTGCCAGAAGACTGGAGGTTGTCTAACGGGGTGGTACTATTTAAGAAAGATGGTAAGGAAAAGCCAGAAAATGACTGACATCAGTGGTAGGCAAGTTGTGGGAATCATAAGGGACAGTATTTGGAAAAGCAAGGTCTGATTAGGGATAGTCAACATGGCTTTGTACGTGGGAAATCGTGTCTCACAAGCTTCTTCAAATTTCCTGAAGAAGTATCAAAGAGGATTGATGAGGGCAGAACGGTGGACGTGATCTATATGGAATTCAGTAAGGCATTTGACAAGGCTCCTCATGGTAGACTGGTTAGCAAGGTTAGATCACACGGAATTCTGGGGGAACTAACTTTTTGGATACAAAACTAGCTTGAAGGTAAAAGACAGAGAGTAGTGGTAGAGATAACAAGGTGTAGAGCTGGATGAACACAGCAGGCCAGGCAGCATCAGAGGAGCAGGAAAGCTGATGTTTCGGGCCTAGACCCTTCTTCAGAAAATGTAGTGGTAGACTAGTGGTAGAGAGTTGATTTTCAGACTGGAGGCCTGTGAACAGCAGTGTGCCACAAAGATCGGTGCTGGGTCCACTCCTTTTCATCATTTATACAAATGATTTGGATGTGAACATTGGAGGTATGGTTAGTAAGTTTGCAAATGACACCAAAACTAGAGGTGTAGTGGTGGACAGTGAAGAAGGTTACCTCAGAGTACAATGGGATCTCGATCAGATAGGTTAATGGGCCAAGGAGTGGCAGATGGAGTTTAATTTAGATAAGCGTGAGGTGCTGCATTTTGAAGAGGCACATTGGAGCAGACCGATACACTTAATGGTAATTGGAGTGGTGCTGAACAAAGAGACCTTAGACTGTAGGTTTATAGTTCGTTGAAAGTGGAGTTGCAGGTAGACAGGGTGGTGAAGAAGGCGTTAGGTACGCTTACTTTGGTCAATGCTTTAAGTATAGGAGTTGGGAGGTCATGTTGTGGTTGCATAGGACATTGCTTAGGCCACTATTAGAATACTGCATTTAATTCTAGTCTCCCAGCTATAGGAAGGATGTTGTGAAACTTGAGAGAGTTCAGATAAGATTGACAAGAATGTTGCCAGGGTTGGAGGGTTTGAGCTATAGGGAGAGGTTGAATAGGCTGGGGCTATTTTCCCTGGAGCATCAGAGACTGAAGGTGACCTTATAGAGGTTTATATAATCATGAGGGGCATAGATAGAGTAAATAGTCAAGGTCTTTTCCACGGGTTGGGTGAGTCCAAAACTATAGGTTTAAGGTCGGAGGGGAAAGACTTAAAAGGGATCTGAGGGGCAATGTTTTCACTCAGAGGGTAGTGTGTGTGTGGAATGAGCTGCCAGAAGAAGTGGTGAAGGCTCGTACAATTACAACATTTAAAAGGCATCTGGATGAGTATATGAATAGGAAGGGTTTTAGAGGCATATGGGCCAAATGTTGGAAATTGGGACTAGATTTATTTAGGATATCTAGTCGACATGGATGAGTTGGACTGAAGGGTCTGTTTCCGTGCTGTACATCTCTATGACTATATCACTCCATGACACTGGAGGAGGCTCAGATGGATCATCCACTCGGCACTCCTGGCCGAAGATTGCTTTTTCTTTCTGTTTATTTGTGGGATATGGGTGTCACTGGCTGGCCAGCATTTCTTGCCTGTCCCTAGTTGCCCTTGAGAAGGTGGTGGTGAGCTGCCTTCTTGAACCACTGCAGCCCTTCTGCTGTTGGTGGACCCACAATGCTATTAGCGAGGGAATTCCAGGATTTTGACGCAGTGACAGTAAAAGAACAGCGATATAGTTCCAAGTCAGGATGGTGAGTGACTTGGAGAGGAACTTGAAGGTGGTGATGTTCCCATATAACTGCTGCCCTTGTCCTTCTAGATGTAAGTGGTTGTGGCTTGCTGCTTATGCTGTTTGGTGTGCAAGTGGTCCTGTTTCACCAGGTTGATACCTCATTTTCTGGTATGCCTGGTGCTCTCCTGGCCTGCCCTCCTGCACTCTCCACTGAACCAGAGATGATCCCCTGGCTTGATGGTAACGGTTGAGTGGAGGATATGCTGGGCCATGAGGTTACAGCTTGTGCTGGAGTACAATTCTGCTGCTGTTGATGGCCCACAGCACCTCATGGATGCCCAGTCCTGAGTTGCTAGATCTGTGCGAAGTCTGTCCCATTTTGCACAGTGACGTTGCCACACAACACGATGGAGTTATTCTCGATGTGAAGGTGGGACTTCGTCTCCACAAGAACTGTGTGGTGGTCACTCCTACCAATATTGTCATGGACAGATTAGTAAGGATGAGGTCAAGTACGTTTTTCCCTCTTGTTGGTTCCATCACCACCTGCCACAGACCCAGTCTAGCAGTTATGTCCTTTAGGACCCGACTAGCTCGGTCTGTAGTACTGTTGCTAAGCCACTCTAAGTGGTGGACATTGAAATCCCCAACCTAAAGTACATTTTGTGCCCTTGCCTGGAATCAATAAGTATCAGGGGGCAAACCTCCAGTGGTTGGAATTATACCTGGCACATAGGAAGATGGCCATGGTTGTTGGAGGTCAGTCAACTCAGCTCCAGGACATCTCTGCAGGAGTTCATCAGGGTAGTGTCCTAGGCCCAACCATCTTCAGCTGCTTCATCCGTGACCTTCCCTCCATCATAAAGTTGAAAGTGGGGATGTTCGCTAATAATTGCACAATTTTCAGCACCATTCACGACTCCTCTGATATTAAAGCAGTCCATGTTCAAATGCAACAAGATTCAGACAACTCCCAAGCTTGGGCTAACAAGCAGCAAGTAACATTTGCGCAAATGCCAGGCTATGACTATCATCATTAAGAGACGACCTAGCCACTGGCCATTGACATTCAATGCTGTTACCATCACTGAATCCCCCACTATCAACATCCTTGGGTTATCATTGACTAGAAACTCAACTTGACTCACCACATAAATACAGTGGCTAGAACAGCAGGTCAGAGACTAGGAATAGTGAGGCAAGTAACTCACCTCCTGACTCCCCAAAGGCTGTCCATCATTTACAAGGCACAAGTCAGGAGTGTGATGGACTACACCCCACTTGCCCGGATGAGTGCAGCCCCAACAACACTCAAGATGCTTGTCACCATCCAGGACACAGCAGCCCGCTTGATTGGCGCCACATCCGCAAGCATTCACTCTCTCCACTACCAGCACTCAGTAGCAGCAGTTTACTCACAAAATACAAGCAGAAATTCACCAAAGATCCTCAGGCAGCACCTTCCAAACCAACAACCACTTCCATCCAGAAGGACAAAAGCAGCAGATGCATGGGAGCACCACTACCTTCAAGTTTCCTTCCTAGCCACTCACTATCCTGGCTTGGGAATATATTACAGTTATTTTCCTGTTGCTGGGTCAAAATCCTGGAATTTCCTCCTCAATGGCATGGTGGGTCAACCTACAGCATGTAGACTGCAGCGGTTCTGGAAGTTAGCTCACCAGCACCTTCTCCAGCGCAACTAGGGATGGGCAATAAATGCTGGCCCAGCCAGCAACATCCACATTCCACAAATGAATAATAAAAAAAAGTCACTCACCATCCTGACAGTGAATAATCAGCAATATAGTTTCAAGTCAGAGTGGTGCAACAAATGCTGGCCTAGATCCAGTGAACAAACATTAAAGACCTGCTGGCCTAACTTGAGTCATAGGGAAAATTGCTAGAAAACGTAATAAAAGATGTGATAAGAGAACAGTTAGAAAATAATGGTTGGATTGGATAGAGTGAATATGGTTTTATGAAGGGAGATTATGCTTAACAAACTTATGAGTATTTTGATAATGTTACTTTTGGTATAGCACAATAAAATATCCATAATCTGTGGTAGCATCATTCAGGATTTGGATTTTAGAAAAAAGGACAAATAGATTTTGGTTAGTTCTGTGAAGGTGTTGTTCTTTAAAAATTCAGAAAAACATTTCGAACATCTAAATGGATCATTTCAAGAAGGCGTGTGACTTCAGTCAAGGATCCTTCTGGAGTCTGTCTTGTTCAGGGTTAGCATCAACTAGGATCATAACAATGGATAAAGGAGAGCCAGTGAAGATGCTGAAGTTGAATTTTCAGAAGGCTTTTGATGAGATTCCATGCATGAGGTTAGTAAAAATAAAGTTATACCACAATAACCCTCAATGTGCAAGGTATCATTGCTGACAACCAATTGAGGATTGCCAGTCAGGCTCACAACATGGCATAAAAACAGAAGTTGCTGGAAAAGCTCAGCAGGTCTGGCAGCATCTGTGAAGAAAAAATCTGAGTTAACGTTTCAGTTCCGGTGACCCTTCCTCAGAACTCACAATATTGCATGTACTGGAAGCTACATATAGTCTTTGCAGACAGAAAGAACATGTACGTGCCTGCGTATGCTTCAACTCAGCAAAATCAGTGACAGACATTTGTTGGTTCAGTTATCAGGGATGGATATTGAATTTGAAGACAAGCATGGAAATATGTAATATATACCTCTCCAGAAGAAAGCACATTGTTGAGATATTCAAGAAAGGACTCTTCCTTAATATCATTATCGGTGAATATGAAAGTGATTCCCTTGCCTTCTGCCCCAGCTGTTCTGTACAATATCTTCAAATCATCCATTAGATTGGTGACGCTGTACGCTCTGAAAGAAATAATAAAATTACACATATTACAATGGCTCCAAAAACTTACAGAAATGTTCAATTTGAACATTGGAAAATACCTAAAGATTCTTCACAGCCAAAGAAGGGAAATTGGGAGATCTTCTCAATACTTAGGTTAAACCAGTGTGTTTAATGGATTTTAAAAATGGAATTCCAGAGCTTAAAGCCAAGGCTCATTTAGATAAAAAAGACAGGAGAAGCTGGCCAGAGTTGTTTGGAAGGGAAGCCTAGTAGGGAAGTTGGTGGAGCAGCAATGACAGGAATTACTGGTGTAATTTGGGAAGCACAGCAGAAATTCATCCCAAGGAAGAAGAAACATATGAAGGTGAGAACGAGGCAACATTGACTAACAAAGGCTGTCAGGAACAGTTAAAAAGCAAAAGAAGAAGTGCACAATGTGTGAAGATTAATAGGAAGCTAGAGGAATGGGAAACCTTTAAAACCCAACGGAGAATAACCAAAAAAAGCAATAGGTGGGAAAGATAAAATATAAGGTTAAGTTAGCTAGTAACAGAAAAAAAGATTGCAAGAGATTTTTTTTATATGTGTAAGAGGCAAGAGAAAGGGTAGAGTGAACAATGGCCAGCTGGAAAGTGAGGTTGGAGAACTAGTTTCAGAGATAGTAGGAACTGCAGATGCTGGAGAATCTGAGATAACAAGGTGTAGAGCTGGATGAAAATGAATTTTTCTGAAGAAGGGTCTAGGCCCGAAACATCAGCCTTCCTGCTCCTCTGATGCTGCTTGGCCTGCTGTGTTCATCCAGCTCTACACCTTGTTATCTCTGGAGAACTAGTATTGGGGAATAAAGAAACGGTGGAGGAACTGAATCAATCTTCATCTTGGAAGACACCAGTAGCATACCAGCACTTCAAGAAAGTCGGGAGCAGAGGTGAGTGCAATGGCCATCACTAAGAAGAAGGGGCTGGAGAGGCTGAAAGGTCTGAAGGTGGATAAATCACCCAGACCGCACCCCAAGGTTTTGATGGAGATAGCTGAGGAGATAGCTGAGGCATTGGTGGTGATCTTTCAGGAATTACTGGAGGCAGGGAGGGTCCCGAGAACTGGAAAATGACCATTGCAACACCCCTGTTTAAGAAGTGAAGGAGGCAGATGACAGGCCAGTCAGCTTGACCACTCCTTTGTCCGCCCAACTGCTGCTATCTCTCGATAATGTTTAGTCTTCTCGCCTCCTCCCAACCCATCTTCAGTATATATACCAAATTTTTCCTAGCTAACATCAATTCTGAAGAATAGTCACTGCACCTGAAATGGTAACTCTGCTTTATCTCTGCAGGTGCTGGCAGACCTGCTGAGTTTTTCCAGCAAATTCCATTTTTGTTTCAGATTTCTAGCATCCGCAATTCTATGAACAGATTCAAGAACAGTTTCTTCCCTGCTGTATGTCAAACTTTTGAACGGACCTCTCAAATGTTAATTCTGATCTCTGTCTGTACCTTCTCTGCGCTGTAACAGTGTCTTCTACACTCTGTTCTGCTACCCTGATGCACTCTTTATGGCATGATCTTCCTGAATAGCATGCAAAACAGTGCTTTTCACTGTATATCAGTACATGTGACAACAATAAATCAATCAAGGTGGACCTCATCTCCATAAGGGCTGGTGGTGGTCACTCCTACTGACATTGCAATGAACAGAAATTGGTGAGGATGAGGACAAGTATGTTATTTCCCCTCCCTACCATGGACCCAATCCAGTAGCAATGTCCTTTGGTGCTGCCAATCCAGTCTTGGTGGTGGAATTTGAAGTTGCTCACCCAGAGTATATTCTCTGCACTTGCTACTCTCATTGCTTTTTCCAAGCATTGATCAACATGGACAAACACTGATTCACTAGCTAAGAGGAGAAGGTACATGATAATTAGTCAGAGATTTTCTTGACCATGTTTGACCTGATGCCTTGAGGCTTCATGGGTTCTGAAATAAAATATGAAGACTCCCAGAGCAACTCCATCCTCACTGTATACAACTGCTTCGCTACCTCTGCTGGGTCTGCCCTGCCAATAGGCCATAGACTCCTACAACCTTTTGGAATAAGGATAGCACACAAACCAACAGCCACACTTCGCCAGTTACTCTCAAAGAAAAAAAACCCCATGCTCATAATGAACAGGACAAATGTGATATATAAAATACCATGCAGCAACTGCGAGAAACACGACAAAGGACAGATGGGCAGGAAACTCACCACCAGGATACATGAACACCAACTCGTAGCAAAACAGCACAACCAACTGTCCCTCGTTTCAATACACTCAGACATAGAAGGACATCAGTTTAACTGGGACAAAGCCACAGTACTAGGACAAGCAAAACAAAGACAAGTACGAGAATTCCTGGAGGCCTAGTCTTCAATCACTAATGCAACAAACATGTTGAAATAGACCCCATATACATACCACTACGGTACAAACCAGAAACAAGACTGCCCACCATGACAAACTGGACCATGTAAATCAGAGCGGGACAGAACAACAGTGCTTCAACAGAGGCTGCACAGCACTGACAATGTCACCTAGAAGGGAGACGAAATGTTTGCATGAAAACCAGTCAGCTGGGCGAACCAACCAACAACTCCTACTATGTTAGGCTGTCGCCTGTATAAAGCCAAGAACTGCAGGTGCAAGTGACCCTTCATCAGAACTAGACCAGAAATGTTAACCCAGTTTTCTCCTCACAGATGCTGCCAGACCTGCTGAGCTTTTCCAGCAATTTCTGATTTTGCAATTAAAAGGTAGAACAGTTAATGAGCAGTGGCAGATGTTTCAGCAGATATTCAATTTCTCCCAACTAAAATAAAATCCAGAGGGGAAGAAAGATTGTAAGAGGGAGAAAAACATCCATAGCTAAGCAACAAGTTAAAAATAACATAAAGGCAGAAACTAAAAATTGGAGAGGGTTGAGAGCATCAAGTTCCTAGGAGTGACGATAACCAACAATCTGTCCCAGACCACTCATGTAGATGCGACAGTCAAGAAGGCACAACAAAGACTCTTCTTTGTCAGGAGGCTTAAGAAATTTAAGGTGTCCATAAGGACCCTCATCAACTTTTACAGATGCACCATAGAAAGCATTCTATCTGGGTGCATAATGGCTTGGTATGGCAACTGCTCTACCCAGGACCTTAAGAAACTACAAAGAGTTGTGTGCACAGTCTGGACCATCACAAAAGCCAATCTTCCACCCATGGACTCCATCTACACCTGCCATTGCTGTGGAAAGGCTGCCAATATCATCAAAGACACCTCCCACCGCAGTAATACTGTCTTGCATCCTCGTCAGTCAAGCAGAAGATACAGAAGCCTGAATACATATGTCAACAGATTCAAGAACAGCTTCTTCCCTGCTGTTATTAGAGTGCTGGATGAATGTCTCTAATTTCAAATCTAATATTGATCTTGCTTTTATGCACCTCCTGTGCTGTTGTAATCATGCCTTACTTTGTCTAAACACTCTGTGATCTACATGTCCTTGTATGTTATGATCTGCTTGTACTGCTTGCAAAACAAAACTTTTACTGTACTCAGCTGCATGTGACAACAATAAATCAAATCAAATCAAACTAACATCCATATTGTATTGTACCATATTGTAAAGATTCGTGGCAGACTGAAAGATTTAGAAAACATACAGAACAACAAAGCGTTACTAAAAACAAAGGGTAAAGGTAAATTACTAAGGAACACTAGTGCAAAGTATAAAAATGGACAGCAAAATCTTCCATAAGCATATAAAAGGGAAGATAGTAGCTAAAGTGAACTAGGTGCCCCAGGCAGGCTGCATTCCTGACATGCTTACCTTATCAGCAAAGGAACACCTGGAAGATCTGTTATGAAAAACATTGTATTGAGGAAATGTTTTCTCATCAGAAGTTTTAGGAAAATGTTTACCCACAGGTACATGATCACATAGGCAGCTGCATTTGTGAACACACATTTTTCTCACCATTAACTCAGAAGATTGGAACTGTGTAAGTAATTACAGCAAGATGGAGTATTAGTGAGCATTCACAGTACATTCTTGAATGCAAAAGAGCTTCCTAACCATTAGCATTGGATGACCTATCTGAGATTTTCTCCAAACATAACATTAAAACTTTAACTCTCCATCAGGAATCTGAATTTTGCCATTTCAATCCATGAAGTTCTCCATTCTACCTTTCTATCTGGTCCAGGCAGTCCCAGAGATTCCAGTCTATATCTCTCTCCTTTTCAGACAGAAAATCAGGAAGACAAAGAATAGATTTTAAGTGCTGCTTGCATTGCTCTTAATTGGTATGCACTAACAATTTTGCGACATCCACAAATTTTTCTGCAATTTTCAATTTTGAAGCCATGTTAAGCGCAGGCAATCTGAAGTTGCACCATTCATATCAGTGTAACTAAGGATCATTGCCCACTATGTGATCCCACAAGAATATTGATCCAGTTTGGAATGTGAATGGTGCTGACAGAATAAGGTTAAATTTTCATTAACAAATACAAAACTAATACATTTATTTTAATACCTTGTTAAAGTGATCTGAAATATTTTATATCCAGCAATATAGGATGCCAGTTTTGTGAAGCTTTGTTTTCCAGAACCACCAACGCCTACCAGCAAAGCATTTCCACAGTCTGTACGGATTATACGTGATATCTACAAAACATGTTTTTCATGCTGTCACAGGTGGAAGTTTACTTTGTCAAAGAAAAAATTGAACTGATCAAGGTTTGTCATTCTTCATTCAAAGTAACAGTTTAACAACAAAAATAACAATATGACATACTTAATACTCGATTAATTTTGTTAAGATTGTCCTGACAGTGCATTCATGCATCGCTGAAAAATCTATCGTAGGGTCGTTGTGCAAACTCTCTTGTTGACAACTGTGTAGTCCATCATAATATCACAGAAAGATTACAACACAAAACCATTAGATCCATTGCATCTGCACCAGTTCTTGGTGAGAATAACTTGAACTATGCTCTCCTGTTTTTTTTCCCGGAAACCCTCTAAAAATATGTTCTCTTTTGATAATTATCCCATTTCAGTTTTGAAAGTAATGACTGAATCTGTCTGGTCTACAGCCACAGAAAGTGCATTTCAGCTCCTAACTGTTCACTGCATTAGAAATGTTTTTTCTCACATTACCCTGAACCTTTGTGAATCACTTTAATTCAGTTCCTCCAGTTCTTGGCCACCAATGTGAACAGTTCTCCCTATTCAATTTGGCCAGGCCTCTCATTATTCTGAACTTCTCTATGAAATCACTCAAAATTTTCTTGTCCAAGGTGAACCATCCCAGCTTTTTATTTTTGTAACTGACGTTCCTTAGTCCCATTATTGTCATTACAAAACTTTACTAAAGTCTCTCCAATGTCTTCACATGCTTCTGAAAGTATGGTCGCAAGAGCTGGACAGAATATTTTAGTTGTATTCAAACTGTATTTGGTTATATCATGTTATATTAAAGTTCACCATCAATGTTATTTTATAGTCTGTACCTTTACCTATAAAACCCAGAATCACCTGTTTTATAAACCATTTCCCCAACCTTTACTGCCAACTTCAATGATTTGTGTATATAAACCCATATATCTGTTTACCCCTACACACCCTTCAGAATTGAAAAATTTATTCCTATAACCTTTACTCATTCTTCCTCCTGAAATTCTTCTTACTAACTTCATATTCTTCTGCATTAAATTTCAACGGCCATGCTTTTGGTAATTTATTCACAGGACGAGTGTGTCACTGTCTAGGCAGCATTTATTGCCCATCCCTAATTGCCCAGAGGGCATTTAAGGGTCAACCACATTGCTGTGGGTCTGGAGTCACATGTAGGCCAGACTGGGTAAGGATGGCAGTTTCCTTCCCTAAAGGACAGTAGTGAAGCAGATGGGGTTTTTTTGTGACAATTGACAATGGATTCATGGTCATCATTAGACTGTTAAGTCCAGGCATATATTGAATTCAAATTCCACCATCTGCCGTGGCAGGATTTGAACTTAGGTCCTCAGAACATTACCTGGGTCTCTGGGTTAACAGTCCAGTGATAATACCACTAGGCCATCTCCTCCCACCAGGTGCGATTTTCCCAATAATCAAGACTGGTTTCATGATCATCATCATACTTTTAATTCCAGATTGTTACTGAAGTCAAATAGCCAGCATTTGAATGAATAAAAAAAATGAGTTTAAAGTTTAAATTCTCACTTTCATAATGTGTGTCATTGCATCCTTGAAGAAAACAAGATCAAGAAAACCTGATCGGACTCCTTCATTATGTTGTCTCTGATAAAACTGTAATTTTTCAGTCAGAAATTCATAGCTTGGGATCTGAAAAATATTTGTAACCGTTAGAATATCACAAAGAACATATTAAAACACGTTATTAATCTAATATAGTAAAGAGTGACGGTTGCCTTTGTCCCATTAGACCATAGGCTGCTCTTTTATTAAAGAGAGATGACCAGTGGCAAGTTTAATCTGAGGGTTCCATGCCTCAGGAAAAGGGTGAGGTTCAGAAAGTGGCATTCCTATGCTGAATTATAATGTGTGGGAATTGACCTGTTGCTGACCACTCATCAAATTGGTCTAGTGCTCACTGACTGAGTTGGCCTAGTCCTCACTGATTTAACTGCTGTAGCCCTCAGTCATCAAGCTGGCCTAGTCCTCACAGATCAAGCCAGTCAAAATTACACTAATTGAACTGGCCCCCAAGTCCTCAACGACTAGTCCACTACTCGTGATGTAGGCCACAGCTGGTTGAGCCTCACTGACCGAGCTGTCTGGAATCATTGAATTCCTACAGTATGCAAAGAGGAATTTGGCCCATCAAGTCTGCACTGACCTTCTGAAGAGCATTCCATCTTTTCCCTCTAATACTGTATTTCTGATGGTTACCACTGAGCCTGAACATCCCTGGACACTAAGGGTCAATTTACCATGGCCAATCCACTTTACCAGCACATCTTTGGACTATGGGAGGAAACTGGAGCACCTGGCAGAAACCCACAAAGGCTGAGGGAGAACATGCAAACTCAACACAGATAGTCATCCATGGCTGAAATCAAACCTGGGTCACCAGTGCTGTGAGGCAGCCATGCTAATCACTGAGCCCAAGTCCTCAATGACTGAGCTGGTCTAGTCCTCACCAATCGAGCTGGTCTAGTTCGCAATAATCAAGCTTGTCTAATCCTCACTGACAGAGCCGGTCCAGTACTCACTGACGGAGCTAGCCCAGTACTAACTGACGGAGCTAGCCCAGTACTAACTGACGGAGCTAGCCCAGTACTCATTGACTGAGCCAGTCCAGTACTCACTGACGGAGCTAGCCCAGTACTCACTGACTGAGCCAGTCCAGTACTGACTGATGGAGACAGCCCAGTACTCACTGACGGAGCTAGCCCAGTACTCACTGATGGAGCTAGCCCAGTACTCACTGACTGAGCCAATCCAGTACTCACTGACAGAGCCAGTCCAGTACTCACTGACGGAGCCAGCCCAGTACTCACTGACGGAGCC